CCAAGTCCAATGAAACAAGTTAGAAGTCAAGGATAAGAAGACTGAAGAAAACCCCACACTGTGAATCTAAAAGATACCCTTTCAAGTCCCTTGTGCGTGAGGAAAAAAAACCACCACGATAGTACGATATACCCGAAGACAAACGACAGAAGCACCTCACAGTAAAACGTGCAGGACTAAGCTTCCACAGAAGTATGCAGCCTTCCGTGCGTGTATTAAAAAGGAGAGACGGAGATGCTCAACTCCAAGGAGGGGAAAAGAGCAGGATACACCAAATGAAGAGCAGAAATTACCGACACGGGCTCTATCCTAAGGCCACTGCCAGCCAAGAGATCAACCAAGAAGAGATCAACCGTTGGCAGGAAAAGATTTCCACAGGAAGAAAGCCGAGTTATTTATAATAAGAAGCATCAGAAACACAAACACCTAATGAGAGGGCTGTGGTTATATGAAATATGGTCCATTCGCTTGATAAAATCAACATGTTCTATACAGAAAACTCCCACTGTAACGGTAACAGAGAAAGAGCAAGACACGATGTTATGTTTATGGTGTGACTTCATTTTTATAAGAAAAACGCAGCTTTGGGGCACCTGGGTGACTCAGTGGGTTAAAACCTCTGCCTTCAGCTACGGTTGTGATCTCAGGGTCCTGGGACTGAGCCCGGCATCAGCATCTCAGCATCGGGCCCTCTGCTCACTGGGAAGCCTGCTTCCCCCACCCCTCTCTCTGCCTGCCTCTCTGCCTACTTGTGATCTCTGTCAAATAAATAAATAAAATATTGGGGAAAAACAAAAACAAAAACAAAAACAAACCCGCAGCCTTAGGGCGCCTGAGTAGCTCAGTCAGTTAATCGTCTGACTCTCGATTTCAGCTCAGGTATGCTCTCAGGGTCATGGGATCAAGCCACTTGTGGGGCTCCACACTCAGTGAGTAGTCCGCTCAGATTCTCTTTTCCCTCTCCTTCTGCCCCACCACCCGCTTGCACAAATGTCCTCTCTCTCTCAATAAATAAATAAAAATCTTAAAAAAAAAAAAAAGAAAGAAAAGAAAAACAGCTTTATGATGTGTTAGGAAAAGGGACTGAGAAGAAATTAAAAAGTTGATGGCTTAATTTTCCTCTTTATTCCTTTGTGTTGTTAGGTTTCATCTAAAGAATATGTATTAGTTTCAAAATAACAAAAAGTGGTTTCTCCTAAACAAGTAAATGCAACAGTAACAACAAAGTAAGTTCCTCTGCAGTTACCTAGTGTGAACTGAACAAGAGGAGGCCTGAATCAGGGCTGGGAGGAGATCAGAACCTCAAGATATAACTGTCCCCTGCTCATTCCCTCAGGCTTCAACCTGATGTATCCCCAACTAGCCAGAGGGACTCTCTAGGATGTGAAGGAAGGGAAACAGAGGGTCACCCCTTCCCCTGCACAGGCACCCTCTGGCCTCCGGGAGACAGTCAACAGCAGCACCCTTCCCCTTACCAGCTTCAGTTATGGTTTTAAACCAGTCCAGCAGCTTCTCCAAACAGGTGTCATCTGCCATGGGCTGCCTGGGGTCTGCCAGAACCGCACAGAGAGCCGGGAGGAGTTGGGAGCACTCTGGGTCCATGGTGAGGCTGGAGAGTCCTGCAAAGAAAACGTCAGAGCCAGGTCCCACCCACGCTAGCCATAGGCAGCCCCTGTGTCTCCTTGGGCCAGGCGCTGAAGACGGTCGCCCTCTGAGGGAGCTGCCGGGATGTGATGCAAAACCTCAGCCTGGGTGGCGCTGGTCAGGAGCAGGCAAGGCTCTGAGTTGCGGCCTCCTGGGCTGGAAAGGGGCCTTAGGAGTTCGGGGCCTGCCAACCTTGGACAGCGCGTGAGCCACTTAGGGGTGTGTGCACGCGTTCTGGTGCCAGCACGGGGCACAGCGTCTCTCTCCGGGTCTGGGCGTCTGCATCCGACACCCCCGCAGCCAGCAGCGCGGGGAGGCGGAGGCGCTCTGTCCACTGTCAGTCCCTCCCGGGCCGGGAAGTGCACCTGCGAGTCCTGTCGCGAAGGGGCCGGGAGCCCCTCAGTCCTGCGGTCAGGGCGCACTCTCTCGGGAGGCTGGGGGTGGGCAGGGACTCGGTCGCAGTCCGTCCTCGGTGATGCTAGTTCCTTGACAAGGAGGGACCCTCGCTGAGGGAGCCGCCGCGGCCCAGCCGGCCGACGGGCCCAGAGGGGGCACGAGACCTGGACCCCTATTGCCGGTCCGGATTCCACCCGGGCAGCCGCTTAGGCTGCCACCGCTCCCGGGGCCCGCGGCTCACCTGCTCCGCGTCCCTCGGCCGCCGCAGGCACCGCCCCGGACCGTGCCACTTGCCCGGTCTGGCGGGAGCGCGCAAAAGGACAGCTGGCCACGGAGACCCTCAAAGTCCCCGGAAGGCCACTCGGGGAGCCGCGGGAACCCACACTTGGGGAACGAGTTCAAACCGAGTAGCGCTGAGCCAGGCCGGCGCCACACCGGTGGGCCCCACCGGTCAGCCTCACAGGGACGCCGGTGGTACGTGCGGAGGATCCAGGGGGCATTGCGTCTGGAAGGCGGGGCTTTTTCTGGAGGAAGGGGTGGGGCCAAGGCCGGAAAAGGCGTGGTCTCGGGACTTAGAGTCAGCACCGGGGCAGGTGAGAGGGATGCACGACGGAAAGGGGACTTCCCCACCTTTAAGGCGAAGTCACTGGTCCTTTGGCCTCAAAACTGGATCCTCAGGGCCCATCAGCTGTGTGCCAGACTACTCAAAGCCAGTGGACAAAAACAAGCCTCATCTTGGGGTGCCTGGGTGGCTCAGTGGGTTAAGCCTCTGACTCTTGATCTCAGCTCAGGTCTTGATCTCAGGGTCGTGAGATCAAGCCCCACCTCTGGCTCCCAGAGCAACAGAACAAGCCTCGTCTTCCCACGGTGTCAGTGTTTCAGTGAAATTTCTAGGGAAACACCAGGTACATATTACCATATAGAAAGCAGAATTCCTAGGGGTACTAAACTAAAAAATAACTTTAAAAAACATGGACTTTGATGGGTAAGCACTCCAGACACCCCATCCCCTTAGAACTCCATGGGTGAGAAGGTTTTGACTGCACAGTTATCTTCCCTGAATTGTGATCCCTCATTGTAAAACTGGGGATACTAATATTTGCGTGATTGAGCAGTTGTGGGGGAAAAACATCTTTCAGAAGCACTGTGCTAAGTGCTTCACTTAACCATAAATCCCGGTAATTCTGTGCCAACTCTAGGAGGGTGTGTACTATTACCATCCTCACAGGTGAGTAACCTGAAGGGTAGAGAGGCTAAGTCCCAGCTAGTGGGCTGACACGGTCTGGATCTGAACCCAGGCAGTCTGGCTCCAAAGTTAAATACTACATTATACACGTCCACCATTTCGTACCTGAAACTTTTGAGGACACGTGGATCAGAACATAACTATTCACACTTCAGGGAAGTTACTGGTACATACACACTCTATGTAAGATTACAATCCCAGCAGTATCTCATGCCATAATCCAATGTGTTAAAAGCCCCCCCCCACCATGAGATGCGTTAATATACACTCCAAGTGGAATACATAAGCACTGTACATAGCCTCAACTCAGACTTTTGTTGGCATGGAGTTGAGGTCAGAACAGGTTTTGCCAACAAAAAAAATTTGAAAGCCTTTTTAGAAGTTTTAGAATTCAGAAGAGCAGATAAAAAGTCGTGGACATGTACTCTCTTTCTAACTAAACGAGGGAAAGTAAGTGAAGCAACACAAACAGAAGAGCAAGGGGATTGTAGAGCCCCAGGAGCTGAGCAAGAGGTACACCTCCACAGGCAGTTTAGGTAGCAAAAGCTCTTGTCCCCTTTGTGAACAATACCTGGAGGAAATAGATGGGAGTCGTTAAGATAACCAGCTCAGTTTCTCCTGCTGCGGGGGCGACAGCCTCTGAACCATCTTGTGGCTCACGCCTTTGTTGTGCAGGTGAGGACGCAGAGGACAAGAGGGCCACGAAGCTGTAGTAGGTGTTGGTACCAGAAATAGAGCAGTAATAACCTGCCAGGCATTCCTACCACACCACACTACAGCGGTTCCTTCATTCACCCCATCAAACGAAGTCTGTCACATTGCACGCACTCTGGCATGGGCAACTAAGCACGTTACAGATACCGACTCGTTGGAGCCTCACAACAACCCTTTTCTCCACTTTGTATTTGAGGAAACAGCGGCACAGAGAAGTTACATGACTCCTTGGATGCCGAATATGTATTAATTGAGCACCTGCCTGAGCCAGACCCTGTTCCAAGGCATGGAGGCACCGCTGTGAACTAAACAAAGACCCTGCCCCAGACAGCTTACGATCTAGACACGAAATACTCTTGTAGATAATGTCAGGTGGCCAGGGGGGAAAAAGCAGGGTGAGGGGACAGGGTAGGTGCCCTTGGAGACCTGTATGAAGAAGCAAGAGCAAATGGTACTTGCTAATAATAATTTAAATAAGTTTTGGAGCCCAGTGCTCCTGAAGATCTTCATGACGCCACTTGAGTGCTGGGCAAACTCATTATTTTTTATTGTCCTGGGGCTACATCAGAACCCAAGAGCCTAAAACAGAGATCAGAGAGAATAACTTTACGAATGCCACGTGTCCAGAAGGAGCAGCCCGGGACACTGCACACTCCCCTTGTCCCTTTCAGCGTTAATCTAACAAATACTAGCATCCCGTTCTGGTGACTAGCGTACAGGTTTGTCGAGGAGCCTCCACGTGAGAGGGCTGACGCACCCCAGGAACCGTTCGTTAAGCGCAACCTGTCGGGCTCTCGGGACATCCCCCACCAACCTCCGACACCCCCATCCCCGCCCCTCACCTCCGGGCGCGCTGCGGGTCGGCCCGCAGGCTGCTCGGCGCACGCGCACGGTCGGCCGGGCTCGCCGGCCACATCCGGGGCTCCGCAGGCGGCGCGGTTGCCATGGCAGCGGGGTCGCGGCTGGCTCGCGGGCTGGGAGGCCGGGAGGCTGCGGGCTGCCGGGCGGCCGCCGGAGCTGCACAGCCAGTCACCCGAGCCCGCAGCGCCGAGGGGCGGCCGGGCAGCGCCGCCGCCATGTCGCTAGGCACCGCGGAGCCGGCCTCGGAGACGGTAAGCGCGGGCGGGCCTCCTCACTCCCTACAGCTCTCCGGCTCTCCGGGCCGGGCACGGGCCGGAGGAAGGGGCGCACGGCCGGCGGCCGCCGGGTGACAGCTGCCATTATTGTTACCGCATAAGAGCGGCCCTCGGGCCCCTGCCCGCGTGCAGCCGGCCGGGCGTCGCCGTCCCCCACCCAGCCCCCAGCGGCCCATAAACCCCGCCCGCCCCTGCACAGGCCGCCGCTTCCAGGAAGCCCTCCCGAACGCTGAGCCCTCGCCGCGCCGCGCCTGCGAGGCCCCGGCCTGTGCCGAGCCTGCGACCGCGGTCCGCGGGGCAACGGAGCCCACTGCGTAAGTGCCAGCCCACCCGGGCCTCCGGGGCGGGGGCAGCGGCCGGGACTGCGGGACGGAGCCATCTGGATGCGCGAGGCGGGGCGGGGGGGGGGGTCGGGGAAGAAGCCCCAGGCTCCCGGGAACAGCGCGCTGCCCAGCACAGGTCAGAGAAGGCTTCCCGGAGGAGGAGGAGCCTCCAAGTTTCCTCCGTTGGGTGAGAGCAAGCGTGCTGTCAGCTCTTGCCTTTTTCGAGTGTTTTTGGCGCGCATGCTCTTCGCTGGAGGGTCAACGTGGATGGATGGGCGGCATTCGGGTGGGAGGAGAACGAGGCAGTAAACCGCACTAACATGGCTTGTGCAGAACATGAAACAGGCCTATGTGGCCGCCGTGGGTTGCAGAGGGCTGCTTTAGGCTGCATGCGCCGGGCAGGTGCCCAGGACGCCCTGGATGTCCCTGACCAGAGGAGTTCTGAGTGCAGAGGGTCCAGTAAGCACTAAGGTCCTGGGGTGGGGAACATGATGTGTGTTCCAAGACGGGAATGAAAGCTTGCTGGGCAACCTCTTTGGGGAAGGTGGGCTCCAGCCTGACCCTGGACAGCCTCGCCGGCCATACGGGGAGTTTGGACTTTATTTCAGGGCTTCTGGAGGGTTCCAGACAGAGGGCATTTTGCTCACTTTGCTTCCTTCTCACGGAGAAGGCCGTGTTGGGCAGGGCTACACAGAGCTCGCCTGTGCAGAGCCTCCCTCAAGACACCAAGTCCTGCCTCATCTGGAAGGCCGGGCCACCTACCCGGGACTCACTCACTGCTCCTTTATCTTTAGAAAGTAACTCCTTAGGTCGTGATTGTGAAAATTGTGAGCGCTAGAATGTGGAATGCCAATTTACCCATGATCTAACCACCTACACAAGATCACCTTAATGTTGGTGTATTTCCCCCCTGATCTTTTCTCAATGGATCTCTTCCCACACAGCTTTAAAAAAAAAAAATCGAGATCATATTTAAGTTGTTTTGTGACCTTTACTATTTAATTTGTTGTTAACGTTTTCCCACAACTACACATTTTCAAGAGCATGATTTAGAAAGTCTGAGCTATGGCTACCCCTACTTTATCCGTTTCCCGGCTTTCCCCCTCCTGTTTGCACTTTTTTGCTACTAGGAACTGCGCAGGTGTGAACATTCTTACACACTTAAGGATTTGTTAAGCCCCTTCCACGTGAGGCTCTGAGGATGCGAAACAGTAAAGCCCTGTGCCTTGGTGTCAAGGAATCCGGTCTCGTAGAGGAACCAGTCCAAAGCTCTCTCAGCACTCAGGAGACTCTCAGCCCTTGGTCCAGGCTAACTTTTGGCTTTCTGCTGAGCTTGGGTCTGTCCAGTATCAGACAGGAATCTCTTGAGAGCAGGCACTGTGCTGTCTGTCCGTTCCCCTAGTGGACTGCAGCTGCCTCCGGGCTGGCTGGTGGACTTCCCAGAGTGTTTACTCTCTGCTGGGGGGCTCACCGTGCAGTGGCTGTGTACAGAGCCACGGGATGACACGGAGCCCAAGTGGGACCACCAGTGATTTAAGAGCCAATGCTTATGGAAGGGCTTAGAGTTTCTAGAACAAGACAGTAAGAACATTTATTAGGCATTCACCATATGTAAGGTTCTGTGTCATGTGCTTTAGTACTCAGGTGACCCCCTGGCCCTCCCTGACCTCTTGCACAACCCCTGGGTCTTCCTGCCTCCCGGACCCTCCTGCAGCCTCCCGGCAACACAGCTCGAACATATTTATGACAGCTGCTCTGAAAGACTTTGCTAAGTCCATCATCTGGGCCCATCAGAAGTTTCTGTTTCTGCATTTCCCCGTCTATCACTCACACTTTCCTGTTTTTCTCTGTGTCTAATAGTTTCCTGTTGGAAGCTAGACATTTAGAAAGAATGTTACAGCAACTCTGGATTTTGATCCCTCCTCTTCATGGGACCAATGTGGTTTGCTTGGTGGCTCATCTGTTCACTGAGTGACTTGGCTGGACTCACCCGCACTTGATCTCCCCATGCTGTGTGGCCCCTGATTCCCTGCTTGGATTCTTTCTTATTTACATCCTCTAGCCTCACCACCTAGGGGTCACCCTTGGGTCGGCACAAGCCACTTTCTGGTCAACTTTCTGCCCTTGACCACTGCATGTATGTGTGTGTGCACGCACGTGCGTGTGGGCACGCATGCCTCTGTAATGTGTGTGCGCGTGTGTGCATGCATGTGTGCCCCTGGTGCGTGTGCATGTGCAGTGTGTGCATGCCTGTGCATGTGTGTGTGTGCGTGCATGATGTGTGTGTCTGCTTGCATGCACACGTACACCTGTGGTGTGTGTGCCTGCGTGTGCCTACACGTGCGCATCTGTGACCTGGAGGCTGCTCGCACAGGGCAGGAGTTTACAGTTTTTGCCCACCTGCAGCCAAGGTCTAGCAGCTTGGGTCGCTCCTCTCCATCTGAAGGGGCAGCCTGAGAGGGCAACCTGAGCCGCCCATGTGGCCCCTGGACTTCAGGGATGTGTGATTTTACCTCTAAGCCTGGCTTTCTGGGAGCTGCTCTAGCCTCGGAGTTCCTCATTGAACCACTGTTTGGTTCAAGGTAGTGTCCATGGGCTTGTGCCCCTTGGTGGATCGAGGTGTGGTGTGGAGAATGTTTCCAAGCCCACCCTGAGTCTGCTCCTGGTGGGTGCGGTCTAATGCAGATGGCCTCCCTGAGCCTCAGGGTTGACTCTGACCCCAGGAAGGCGCTCCTGGGCCTGTTATAGTTCCACTTGCTCTGCCGGTTAACTTTCTGCTGCAATGATCGCAGAGCCAGGAGGGCTCTGTAATTGCTCCCCACCAGGTCACCGCGGCCTTCGACTTGACAGTGGAATCGGGGAGGCATGGGGGTGCTCCACTACTTGCTACAAATAAAGCCAGTGGCCCCTCACCCCCCTGCACAACCACTGGCCTGCCTCTTCCCCGGGGAAGGACTTCAGTGCTACGCTCAGCGGCAGGGATGGCTGTGTGTTTCTTCTGCTTCAGGAGGGGGCGCTGGCCTTCTGGGCTTGATTCTCCCTGTGTGGAACCTCTGCCCTACCAGCAAGCCGGTGCTTGGGGCATTGGGGACCCAGAATTCCTAGCCTGCCACATCTGGGGCAGAACTTACACCCTACCATTCCCCACCATCCTGCCTGCACCCCCCTAGAGCAGGTATCTCTCAAATAGTTTATAAGGGATGAAGTTTGGGGGCAAGGGGTGCCCCGGATTCCCACTATTTTCCCCCACATTAAGTAGATTTTCTTGAATGAATCTTCCTCTATTGCTCTATGCCTTTAGGTAAATTTCCAGAAACTTCAAGCAATTATTTATTTTATAAGCTTCTATGTTCAATGGTTGTAGAAGAGACAGTTGCCCAAGCTGCTCACCCAACCATTCTGGAAGTGTATCCTTCCTCACTGAGTCCCCACAGGCCCCTGCATCTTAGATGGACGCACCGTGTCTTCTCCCTCCGTGTTTAATTAGTAGTGTATGTGGTCTTTCAGTGCTTTTACAAATCTGGTAGAGGAACATGTCCTCTGTGGTCGAGGAAGCTGAGATGGGGAGGGTCAGTGGCATGACCCACATCGCACAACATGCACAGAAGCCTGATGCCGCTCCAGGCCTCCCGAGACTCTCTGCCCGTGGACTGCCTGCCCGCCCATGGTCCCTGGGTTCCCATCGCACAACAGGTGCTGTCTAGCCCGGCAGCCTCAGAGAACCGGCTGTTAATGTGTTTGTTCGCTGTTGGTTTTTTTCTTTAACGTGGTCGCTGTTTTTAACGCCGTCTGTGGCCTCCTACCGGTGGAAGGGGTGGGTCTGCAGCAGCTCCGTGGCTCCAGACGTGGCTGGCAGGGCTAGACACCACAGTGACCCATGGGGAGGACTGGCTAGGGAGAGGGCGTGGTGGGCTGGCACACCTGTGGGAGAGGGAGGTCCCTCGGCGTTATCCACTGCACACACACATAACCTCATTCCCTCACTGAGCCTTCAGGTCACTACAGCTTTCAAGAGTGTATTCAGAACAAGTAATAATGATGAGTGTCCACAAGAGAAACCTCTTGCTTGCTGTGTGGTTTTCAGCGGATTCACACGCACCGTTGACAGGCGCGCCCTTGACGATGCCCGGGTACCTGGATGTGGTCGCCACAGTGGCTCCTCTGGTCTTGCCCAGGATCTGCACATTGAATCCCCTGTCTTCCCTTCCTAAATGTTGCATGTTATATTCATACACTCTGCTCAAGGAAAACTCCTCTCTCTAATCAGCATGTGCTCTTTCTCCCTGAAAAGGTGTTTAGTGACCTCGAAAACCCAAGTATGTGGCTGGTAAAAGATAGTGCTTATCGGAGTGCGCTCCCTTCCCCGGCCCCACGTCACGCCGCACCATGGGTCCTGACTCTGGGTTTCAGAGAGAGGGGGATGCTGCCCGCGTTTGCAGCGGACCCGCAAGCTGCTAGCAGCATGTTGTTTAGGCGCTGACCCTCAGCCCTGCAGAGGATCCGTGTGCCTTTCAGCAAAGTCCTGCTGGGGTGGGAAGTGGGCTCCACCACACCACGGACCCCCACAGCCAGACACGGATAGTCGGTTCACAGGAGGGGCGTGCGGTCCTAACTCCCAGCAGCAGCTTCCTAAACCAGCGACAAAACAGTCTGAAAGAATTTAAATTTTGCTCCTCCCGTCTCTCTCCTTTTTTCAGGATGTAAACTTGAGCCAGTGAGTTACATGGAAACATTCTTCTCTTGAGAAACAACCTCCTAGTCCTGAAATTAGGCAGTACAGATTTTATTCGCGCCCCCCCACCCCACCCCGGGCCAGGGCAGGAAGCGTTATGCGTCTGAATAATGCATGTATTAATGAGTATGTTTTTTGAACGACTTCACCTTGTTCTGATCAGGATCCAGTCACAGATTCCACATGCTTTGATGAGAAGGTGAACGAGAGCACGTTTTAAAAATGTGGAAAATGAAGTCCTTTTATCCCAAACTGTCTCTTTATCAACAGTTTGTGCCAACGGTGTCGCTAGGTGGACAGACACGGAGCTGTCCTGCAGGCAGAGGCTCTGCTCTGTGTCCCCTACCCCTTCTTTCTGCCGGGCTGAGCTGTCTGGCCGCCACGTGCTTACTCTGACCGGGTTTCTTGAGTCTCTGCCTGTGTAGCTGTGGATGGGCTCTTTCCACTTTGTGTGTATGACCGTGAAGAGCCAAGCAGATGCCCTAAAATTTCAATGTTTGCATCTCTTCTTCCAGGGAGATGACAGTCTATCTGCAATTACCTTTGACTCTGACTTTGAGACGGTGAGTGCGACCGGGGGCAGCCGCTGATCCCCGCGCTGGCTGTTTTGCCATTACTCATGTTACCCAAATGCGTGCACTAGGTCATTCCCCCCGAGTGTTGAGTTTAGAGCTGGAACACAAACTGCACGTGCTCCTCAGCACCTGAAGAGTTTTGAGCCCTTAGTTGGATGTAAACAACTGTGGTTGTAGTTTTAAGACTTGTATGCAGATGTTAGTCCCGAATGGCGTATATTTGAGGCAGATGGTAAGCTCCTCTCCTGGGTCTGGTTTTGGCTACAACCCCTCGGCCCCCAGTCCTGACCTGTAAGGGGAGGGTCAGGGCTCTGGGAGGAAAGAGACCCTTCGGCAGCCATCCTGGTGCTGCGTGATGTCATGGCCGGATGGCCCCCGGGCTGCCGGAGCTAGCCTGAAGGGAGAGTGGACAGCATGTCAGTCATCTCTCAGCACAGAGCCCTGAGGGCATGTGGCCCCAGCAGATCCCCCTTGCACCGCAGCTCTGTGGACTCAGGGGGAGCCTCTCAGGCCCCCTGTCTGCCATGAGAGACCTCTGCGGCATGGGCACATAAGTAGTGGGTAGGAGAACCCAGTTGGTGCCCAGTTCTAGGCCTGGCATCAGGGTTGTCCCGGGAGATGGGATGCCAACAGGGTCACTCCTCTCCTGGACCAGCCCTCCCCAGGTGGCCTTGCAGGTGCCTTGTTCACAAGCGTTTCTTCTTGCCAAATCCGCCCTCATTGACAGTCACAGCCTGACGTTTCAGGCGCTGGCATAAGGACAGTGGGGTGGTCGAAGATACACCATTTGTGGGGTGTCTTCAGTCTGTGCCTATGTAGTGTTGCCAGGGCCCCTGGGGACCCAGCTTGGCCGGAGCGTGGCTCTGATCACGTGTCCTGGGGTCACCCCGCCGTGCCATGGGCTTTTTCCTTGGCTCAGGCTGTGCTCATGTCTCTGCCGAGTTCAGCTTCTCTGTCACTGCCCTCGCACCTGCTCCTACCCCTCCTGAACACGCCCGCACTTCACCACTGGGGCCTTGGGGCTGCTCTAGAAGGCTCAGCATGCTTTACCTCATTTCCTCTTTCTTTCAGAAAACAAAAAGGAAAAGTTTCCACAAACCTCCACCCACATCACCGAGTAAGTATGACCAGGCCCCTCATCCCTCAGATTTCTGCAGTTGAACTCAGAAAATGGTTTTCAGAAGCTGTCCTTCCCTGGCATCTTGGGAGAAGGATCTCGAATGCCTTCTTCAAACACTTGGGATCATTGAAAGGTGATGCTTCCACTGCTTGGCTCCATTTTGTGTTGGGGTCTTACGAGCTGGCACTCTTGGGGTTCCCGCTTTCTCCCATGGCCCCAGTGCTCCCTGTGGGAGGAGGCCCAGCAAGGGGCTGAGGCTCCTATTTGTGGTCCCCAGAGCCCCCAGCAGATGCCATGTTTCCAGCCTCTTGTGCTCCTTCCCTACCCTCTGAACCTGCTTGTGTCTTTGGAATACTGCCGTGGCCAGAGAGCCTTGTCCCCTCGGGATCGGCTCCTGCGTGAGAGCTGCTGTCGGCACACTGGGCTGAGCAGGTGTCGTGGTTGCCTGTGGGTTCACCCTGGCTGTGCCAGCCCCGTGAATCTGTGCCCCCCATCCTCAGCAGGGGCAGCAACTCTGTCTGGGAGACAGCGTCCTTGGCTGTGGGCAAGCAGGTGGCTGCCCATTGGGTACGAGGTGGCAGGGGTGCGTTCTCCTTTGCCCAGGCAGCTAAACTGAAGTTTGGGCGCCTTCTGAACAACAGACAGTTACTTCTCACAGCCCCAGAGGCTGGACGTCCCAGACGGGGGTGGCAGCACAGTTAGGTTCTAGTGAGGCCTCTTCTGGACTGTGGACAGCTGTGCCAGGTTATATCTCCCATGGGTGAAGGGGCGAGGGAGCTCGGTGGGGTCCCTTTTCTGGGGGCACTAATCGCATCATGAGGGCCCCCATCATGAGCTAGTCATCTCCCGCAGGCCTCACCCCCTCATGTGGTCACAGTAGGAGTTAGGTTTCAGTGTAGGACTTGTGGGGGCACAAATGTTCAGGCCGTGACACGTGGGCTTTGTCCAGATGGCCAGCCAGCCTCTTCCTCTCCGCTGTTACAACATTACTCTAGAGCACAGTGAGCCACAGGTGAATTTTATGCTTAGGAGTGTCTTCAGGACAAAGTTTAAATCCTGGATTGGCTTTCCTTTGCTCGCCAAAAACCTGCAGCAGTCCCAGACTTTATTGCACAAATATCTATGTTCCTTACATGCGTGTACACTTCACACACCGTGTCACGTGTATGACGCACTCAGAAAATGCTAACGGACTTTCACATTAGCCCAAGGGAAACATTTGAAAGATAATTCCTGCCAAGGAAAGAAAGCGTGTTTTCTAGTACAAAGAAATATAAACATTAGAGAGAAATCGTCTTTGAGTTTGGGTTTTTGATGATCTTGCTCTCCTTCTGTGGAGGAGCCTGACAACTGATAGAAAGTGAAAGTGGGGTGTTTGTGTTTTAAACCTTCCTGTTTTAAAACCGTTTTGTTTTAAGTCCTCATGGCTATGAGGTGCCGAACGTAAATATCACAGCATCTTTCATCATTCTCACCGAAAGTCAGCATGTCAAATGTTTAAAATCATAATTAGCAAATCGTTTTTATCTTGATTTCTGTAAATGTCAGAATTGTGTTTCATGTTAGTTGCACCAGTGAGAACCCCCGGATCACCACTGGAGGGGGCTGCTGAGCCTCAGCGGCCCTGCGGCTCCCGTGCTTTATCTTGGCGCCTGGCCGGGAGTCTGGTCCTGCACTGATCACTGATCGAGGCTGCCCTGCTCCCCGCTGACCTGCGTGTCCTGACCCCAAGCTCTGGCGCCTCTCTCCGTGGGCCAGCACTGCCTCTCACGCTGCTTGGCCAGACATCAGGCCCAAGGCCTGTTCCCCTCACGGCCTTTGGAAAGCCTGTTCAGCAGGTGTGCTTTTGTCTGAATTCCTGGGCCATGACAGCAGTGGCCACTTGTCCTGTTAACGTCACAAGCGTGTCTCTGTAATGTCCAGGCTAGCTCCACGTAGGTCTGTAGCTTCCGGAGCACGGGGGCTGGGTGCTGGGGGCCCTGCTTGCCAACGTGCTCCCCCGGCCGAGTTTCCTTCTGCCTTTCCTGCTTTGGTCCATGTGCATGCACATTTCCTGAGGAATTCTTACTATTCGTTGATGAATCACATGCATTTAGGAGGGAAATGTTGTTTGGACAGCTGTTTACCTGATTGCTGATTTACTTTATCAGTGAGCACTTAGATGGACAATTTTGGAAGGCCATCAGCTGTCCCGGTGAGCGAAAATGTGTCCGGGTCGAATGGGTCTTTGTTCTCCTGTTCTGAATCATAATGGGACATTTCTCATAAATTTTGAAACGATGGAAAAAACATAGGAAAAAAAATTTTTTTTAGATTTTATTTATTTGATAGAGAGACAACAAGAGAGGGAACACAAGCAGGGGGAGGAGAGGGAGAAGCAGGCTTCCCACTGAGCAGGGAGCCTGACGTGGGGCTTGATCCCAGGATCCCGGGATCATGACCTGAGCCGAAGGTACATGCTCAATGACTGAGCCACCCAGGCTCCCCAAAATCATAGGATTTTTTTTAAAGATTTTATTTATTTATTTGACAGAGATAGTGAGAGAGGGAACACAAGCAGTGGGGGTGGGAGAGGGAGAAGCAGGCTTCCTGCTGAATAGGGAGCTGAATGTGGGGCTCGATCCCAGGACCCTGGAATCATGACCTGAGCCGAAGGCAGCAGCTTAATGACTGAGCCGCCTAGGTGCCCCAAAACATAGAAATTTTTAAAAAACTAAATATATTAGACTTAGGTTTTTAGGAACTGCTCTAGACAGACATTTCTTTGCTAAATATGAGCCTGTTTTTTGGATAACTAAGTTTTCACATACATTTGTCATATCTTCCATAATTAAAGAGATGAAATTCCAGATTAAAAAAGAGCTTTAAAACATTTCCCTTATTTTGGTAACAAAGTAAAAAATGCCCTGGAAAGGTAATTTTCTTCTCATTTCTTCCACATTTTTTTTAAAAGATTTTATTTACTTATTTGACAGACAGAGATCACAAGTAGGCAGAGAAGCAGGCAGAGAGAGAGAGGAGGAAGCAGGCTCCCTGCTGAGCAGAGAGCCCGATGGGGGGCTCGATCCCAGGACCCTGAGATCATGAGCTGAGCTGAAGGCGGAGGCTTAACCCACTGAGCCCCTCTTCCACATTTTTTAATATATTAAGTTCTTGATATTATTGCTTGTGGAAGCAAAATGGAAAATTTTTTACAATGTCGAGTATAAAGGACACAAAATTGTATGTTCACTAAACTGCAGCTATGCTGAGCTACACACGCATCAGAAAACATCCAATATTGCCAGAATTATGGATTTGTGTTTTTAGATAAATTTCCCGTTATGTTATGTCTTTATAATGAAATTTTAAAAGGAAATGTAAATATATCTACACATCATAACTGTGTTTTTTACTTTTGCCAGAACATTCTTGTGACTATTCTGCGGTCTGGTTATTGTTGGAGACACTTGCGTTGGTGGGGGCATTGATCTCTTGCACCTCTGAAACCATGTGTTGACTTTCTAGAGTCGCCTTATCACCCTAAGCCGAGAAAAGTGGCATCTTGGAGATCTTTGAGGACAGCAGCAAGCATGCCTCTTGGTAACAGAATGTCCTTAACCCCACAGAGACTGTGGCTGGGAAGCTCAAAGCCAGGTACGTGGTCGCCCGACAGAGACCTTTCCCGCTCCACAGGAGAGAGTTAGGAATCGAGGGTGGTGGTTTAAGCTACAGTTTGTGATCTGACTTCCTTGAATGACATTGTTTTTAATCTTCTCGAAGACATTGAGCCTCGTAACCTTTACAAACCGGTCAGTGTGGTTCTGACGGTCTGCGTGTGTGACACCGTATGTCTTTGAGTCTTAGGAGGCCTCGGCCCGGCCAGCCTGGCCTGTTGGAGCCAGCTCCTGCCAGCTTGCACAAGCCTCTTTTTCCATCTTAGGAATTTTGGGAGCTGGTCGATGTCACCCTGCAGCTTAGGTTGGACGTGGTGGGAATATTTATACCAGGGAACTAAGCAGATGCTACAGACCTGGGCTTGCTTTGTCTCTTGAGATCTGCTTATTGAACACTTAGCAGCAAAGCACCGATAGCCACTATCTGATGGCCGACTTGGGCTGTCTTCCGTCCAGGAAGATTGATGATTAGAGGCAAAACCTCCTGTCGTGTTTGTGTGTACCTGTCGTATTAAATCCATGCACGTTCAAACCAGGAAGTCTGACCCAGCCCCTGAAGTCAGACGTGACCTTGGAGCATGCATGGACCACCCCCCCCAGCAGCACACCCGACTATGTGACAGAAGCTTTGAGAATGAAGAGGTCAGATCTCAGGCGTTCTGCCAGCAATGGTGAGCCCAGTGATGCTGGTGAGGCCCCAAGTGAGGGAAAGCAGGAGGGAGAGCGCGGGATCTTCTTGGACACAGTGAGATATGGGGCTTCCTGTGCTGGATCCCTGTGAGATCACGGGGAGAGGACGGGGGCCTGCAAATCCACTTGTCCTCCTAGAAAGTAGCTTTGCTCATGTGGACAGAGACATCTTCCTGGGCTCCAGTAGGGCCCGTCTCCCTAAACTTAAGAGTCTTAATGAAATCTATTGGACACACAACCTTAGAAATAACAGTTGCAAATAATGAAAAGCCCACATCTCACCAGAAAAGCTGCGTCTGTTGTCCTATCTCTGTCTTCCTGCCTGGCCTTTACCCACGTTTCCTGCTCGGCTCTCACAGCTCTCCTTGAGGGCCTCCACCCTTGTCACTGTGACCGCTGATCCCCGGCCCCCGCTGGCTGGCTCCGAGTTCTACTTTAGGCTTCGGTGGTTTGGAGTCTCCGTATATCAGGTATCACATCGGAACCAGAATGTGCCTCATCGCTTCGACATGGGAAAGGGTGTTAGTCTTTTCGTTTTGTTTGCTATTCAAAACCTGAACATACCGCTTCTCCTTTTGGCCCCTTCTTTCCTTTTCCTGCAAGTAAGCCCTGTGTTCACACCTTTCCATTTCCTTCTGCTTTATCTTTCTGCGTTGCTATCAGTTTGGGTCTCCTTACTTTCGGGGGAAGTATTGTGGTCAGGCTAAAAAACATGCAAGTATTTTTGCTCTTTTTTTTTTTTTTAATCCTCCTTTATTTAAAAGGGTAATTTTATCAACTTCTTGGTTTTCCTTAAGGTACAGCCAGGAATTCTTTCTGCTGTTGGGATGATCTTTTCAGACATTTGCGTGTCGCCCTCCAGGTCACGTTCCCGGGACCCCGGTCTACAGAGAGAAGGAAGACATGTACGACGAGATCATTGAGCTGAAGAAGGTAGTGTTTCTGACTGTCCCTTGCTGGTTTTGGACAGCAAGAGCCTTCTGCAAGGACAGGTGGGAAGACCTGGGTTGGTGCTGATGTGTCTGTGCGGAAAGAACATGAGCTTTGGAAGGACGCCCGAGTCGAAGCCCAGCCCTGTGCCTTGGAAGCAGGGTGGCCCACCTTGTGCCAGCTGCGGGAGAGGCCTCCCCAGTGTGTCAGCGCCATCTCTGCTCTGCTCCCACAGCATGGCAGGGAGGCAGGGGAAACACGGGCTTGACCTCACAGTCCCTCGGCACAGAGGTTTGGCAGCGGGTAAGGTCGCTGGTGTCATTATTGTCAGTAGCCTCCTGCGTGTGTGTGTCTTCCGTGTGAACTGGATGTTCCACGTGCCCTCGCTCTGTGGATCTCCACAGGAGTCTGTGAGGGCGTTCACGGCTCTTAGCTGGTGATGACCTTGAGACTCAGACAAGGTAGTCGTCCGTCCAAGGTCAACCAGTAGCAGAATGAAGACTTCCACTAAGGCCATCTGCCTCCCGAGGCCAAGGCTGCTTTTCCCACCGCGTGCTATCTCCCAATCCCTGACGCATGAAGTGCACTGAGCTGAATCACTGTCATCCTCGTCACCGTCACCATAACCACGACTGCCATGCTGTGCTTTAGTGCCCATAACGCATTCTCGGGCCCCTAGAGAAGAGGCCAGGGTTCGCGCCCTTCCATAACGTCAGTCTCTTTCTAGCCCTACTGTCCCCACCAGCCGAACCCCATCTGGGGGCCCACAGCCTGTCTGGGCACCAGAGGTTAAACAGGGTGTGGGCAGGAAGCACGTTCAAGGCCCGGCCATGGCGACAGGCCTGCGAACCGCCCCTGCCTGAGGAGCGCCTAGCCTAGGCCGCGGTGTACAAGACACAGTCCTTCTGCGTCGGTCCAGACAAGATGCTCAGATTTCAGGTAGAACCAAGAGACTGTGCCCTACGGGAATGCCCAGCAGTGAAAGTGCCTCCCGCGCGCCACGTTCTCAGGGCAGGTGTTGGACAGGTGTTGGGCAGGTATCATGGGGAGAACCCCAATTTTGAGCTCTGAATAATCATTGTGGTAGCACTCTTGAGTCTTCGTGGGACTAGAAGTGGGTCTCTGGGTAAAATTACGCTGACTTTATTCAGACTTCACTGTCACAGGCTTCTGGAAAAAATCAGCCCAGGCTTCTAGACGCAGAGAGAAGAGAGTCTACTTCCTTGACACTGTGGCTCTAGGGTCTGGAGCATCAGTCATTTTTCTATGGCAAGTGAAGCCTCAGTTTCCTGTTGAAAATGGGGACCATAGAGGTATAGTCTCACAGGGTTGCTGTGAGAGCTCAGCAGAGTACTGGTGCAAGTGCTTGCATGCCATGCCTGGTACTCAGCGAGAGGCCGGCGGTGTAGACCGCCCCAGGGAGCCCGACACTCAGCGAG